TTTATCCCTCACAGAATTCAAACATCTTGTATCACTTTAAGAAAGTTACCATGCATTGTAGTAATGTACATTGCATAGTACCAAACCCTTGTAAATTCTTACTATTTAGATGTTAATAAGGTGCAATTCTGGAGTAACTCCATTGACGTAGTTACTCAGATGATGGGGTTATTTGGGATTTCTACCGTGTAACTAAGAGCAGAATTTCACCCATAGTTTAAAGAATTGTATTGGCATATTTCAGTGGGGCTTTTGTTTGATTATCTGTTATTAGTTCTCCTTTACAGAAGTGTTGTAAAAGTTATAACTAGCCCCCATGGGGGTATACCTACTTCTGTGAGAGACATTGCATGATCAGTATTTAAAATTGTTCCCTAGAAGTTAAAACATTTTTTGTTGCAGTCTGTTCCTCTTCCCTTTCCCCCCCCAGATGAAGTAATGTTGAATGGTACAGGAGCAGAATAAGTTTGTTTTGGGGGAGCAGAGAAAAGAAGGGTTCAAAGGGAGCTCTCAACAGCCCTCATGCTGATCTTGCTTTAACCTTCCAGCCCATGCTTTCTCTTCCCTGCCCTTCTATGGTAAAAAAGAGAAGGCAAACCCTATGAATGATCCCAATTGTCTACTGTGCCTTATTTATTTATCTTCACAATACCCATATGAGGTAAGAAAGTATTTATTATTAGCCTCATTTTACAGCTGGAAACCAGGGCACAGAGATACTATATGTCTACTCTGCAAGTGATGGTGAGTTTGTGGCACAAGTAGCAACTCATCCAGCTAGCAGGGGTAACAATAGTACAGATGTGATGGCATGGGGTAGCAACCCAAGCAAGTATCAGGGCTCCCTGGCAGGCTTGTACTTGGTTGAGTAGCCTGTGCTGAAACCCGTGGAACCATATCTACCCTACTGTTGTATACCTGCCTGTGCTATAATCACACCATCACTTGTAGTGAAGACATACCCTAGTAATCTTGCCCAGGGTCACGCAGAAAGTCTGTGGCTGAGCAGGGAGCTGAACTCAGGGCTCCTAAGTCCCAGGCTAGTGGCATAATCATCAGGCTAACCTTCTTCTCTGACTAGTGTGTTTCTGTTGCCAAGATGCCCTGTTGACCTGCCTCTGTACGATGCCTGCTTTTGAGTACCACAGGGGAAGTCACTGCAGCCATAATCTATTTGGTTAGTTAGGTTCAGAGAAACCTCAGGGAAAGTAGTCTGAGTGCTGGACTTAGCTTTGTACAGGACTCAAAGACCCTGATCTTCACCAGAGGATCATTATGTTACATTATATGTTTATCATAATTACTCAGCTTGTTGTGTTTCCATTTTGTTTGGATTCCTGTGATTGTTTAAAATTGTTTCATTTCATCTGATGCATCTTCCAGCCACCAGCATTGGCCAACACTGGGCCCAAAGACAAGGAGAGTGCTCAGAACTGTGAGATATGCTTACATGTTCTATTAAGACCGGTAGGGTCATATCCTTGGACTATCAAGACCTTGGGGACTGGCTAGCTGGGGAGTTGGAGGTGTTGATTGGTAAACTAAGGTTTTTGCTATTTGATTTTTTTAACTTTTTTCTCCATTATTCCTTCCCCCCCAAAATATATCCCTCTTAATGCCTTTCACCAGAAGTTCTCAACATTTGTATTCAGGCTGCTTCCTTGACTTCTTAGAACACTGTGTTTCTATATTGTTTTTATGACATTAAAAAACATTATTAACATTGCAAAGTCAAGCACTCAAAAGTTAGGAAGTGAAAGATTTAAGGTTGCCTGTACAACCTTAATTTGTCTCCTTGTGCATATGTATTATGATACAGTGTTTAATTACATGGTCACATAGTATTTTTCACAGGACTCGTGCCGGATTCAGTGCACAGGAAGTATGGTGGTCTCTGAATGAGCTGCTACTCAATTTTTCAAGTGTTCTTGTTGTAAAATGTGTGGCTCCAGATCTTATTTACTGTACACTATTCAAATCTTGCTCTGAAGACAGAGTTACTCATTTCTCCATACGTTTTCTATGATGCTGATCACTCTCGTATTTGACTGAGTCACAAACATTAATTAATTTATTTTCACAACACCCTTGCGAGATGAGGAGGTGATATTATTTCCGTTTTACAGATGGGGAAGCAAGGCACAGAGAGATTGTCAAAAGTTTCCATTTACTTTGGGTGCCCAATTTGAGACACTTAGGACCTGACTTTTCAGAGCAATTCATATCATAGAGCAGTTTATATGTTCAAAGCACAGCTCCCAGTGACTTCAGTTGCAGCTGTGAGTGCTCAGCACTTACGCAAATCAGGATCCCGGTGTCTTAGGTTGGATACCCAGAAAATAAGTGACACGCTTAATGACCACCTGTGAAAAATTTGGTTTAAGTGACTTGTCTAGCATCATGCAAAAACTCTACGGCAGAGGCAAGGACAGACTCCAGTACACCTGTATGATTTTCAATTAGTTTAACCATGAGACCCTCATAGACTCCTTTCTTTTCCTGCAATCTCTAGCCTTATTCACTACAGACCTTCTGACTTCTGCAACATATGAGACAGGGGTCCTGCAAAGAACAGTTCATTCATATACAACCCTGATTAATTCCTTCAGGACCATCCATCCAGTGCAATGAATGTTGAGTCTCAGGATCTTGACTTCCTTTCTTAATTCTGGAGGGGGATTATGCTCTAGTGAGCAGACCTTTCTGCCTCTCTGCCCCTACATGATCCATTCTGGCTCTGTCCCCTACAGCTTGTCCCTGTGTCAGTCCAGTCTTCTCCCCCTCCCTACTGGATCCTCATCCCAGTCCCAGTCTCCATCCCCAAGGGCTCTTTGTTCCACTTCCAGTGTCCTTTCATAGTCGGTCATGGTCTCCCCCTTTGAGCTGCCAATCTGAGTCTCAGTCTTCCCTTCATTGCCCAGCCAGTTCCAGTCTTTCCTACCGGACTCTTGAGTCATCTTCCCATGCTGCAGCTCCTTGTCCCAGTCCAGCTATTATCTCCTCTGCATTGCAGTCAGGTGGTTTTCTTTTCCACACAGCCTGGGCAGCAGCAGCAGCAGGAACATTGAGAGCACGGAAGAAACCATCTCCTTGCCCTCAGTTCCTGAGTCTGGCACCAAGTTGCTCGTAACAACCAGGAGCAACATTGGAGGGAAAGTCCTGCTCAGCCCCTGCAGCCTTAGGTTGGAGCATGCTCAGTTCAGATGGAATTTATGATGAAATTAGCTGCCAAAATCTTACAAGTCTCTGCTGATCATGTGCAACTTAACTTTTTTTCAGAGGCTTATAAATGGCCAGATTTAAGCAGATTTTCATGGGGACACCCTGACACTAGGGAGCCCCCTTCCAGCCAGATATTAAGCTGTTGCTCCAAAGCATGGGGATGCTAGAACTTCTCAAACAAAAGGTTGTATGATGGTTTTTAACAACACTTTTTCCCTAATCTTGTTTGCAGAAATGGCTGGACTGTTTTTGCTGAAATTTTCCAAAAAATACTCAGCCTGAGGCAGACACCCAGCATGGACAATTTCAGCCCAAACTGTTAAAGTTGGGCAATGTTATCAGCAAGTGAAAACAGGGGCTTACAATAGGAAGTGTCGGGAGCTTTAACAATAGGCTGTGCCATAATATAATAATTACCAGTTCCACCTACAATATTGTAACTGTTCCCATTGTGTACATATTCTCACAGCAGCTGGAGGCACCACTTTGACACCACTCATTGATTACCCCACATCCACCTGCCTTTAAACAGGCAGCGGAACAGACCATGCAAACCTACAAACCAAGGTCCTTCATGTATATTCAGCTAGCATTGCCTGGTGGCTACATACACAAAGTATTTTAAAAAAATGCTTCACTGAGCTCTGGATTGGAGGAAATCAGGGATTTTGTACTGATGCTATTTAAAAAAAGGGATCAGTTTTACAACATTAAATGTTTATAAATAACAATTGTGTGTGCCTAATGTGTGTGAATACTCATGCTGTGTGCTCAAATCATCCATGTCCACATGCATATATTTAATGTGGCACCCAACTAGTCATATGTGTGCTGAAATAGTTGATTTGCACCTGTACAGCACCCACTAGTTAGGCATACTCAATTGCTTATATGTGCTTCATTTCAAAAATCTGGATCTACATGTGTACAGGCAGTTCTCGGCTTTATGATGTTCGACTTACAACGAACAGCACTTACGACACTTCTGAATTGACAACTTTATTCAACTTATGACAATTGGTTTCAACTTTACGATGCTCAGTCCTGCAATGGAGTGGATTGTGGTTCCGAGTTACAACGTTTCGACTTACGACACAATTTTCAGGAACCAATTGTGTCATAAGTCTGAGGACTGCCTGTAATGTGAGTGTGAATGGTGTGTTGATGTTTCTCAAATTGTGAAGTTTGCCCTTTGGCCTTCTGCCTCTGTATTTCACTGTTCTACATAATTCTTTTCTCTAAGAAAAAGTTTATGATAAAAATGATAAAAATGCAATGGCTGAATGTGATGTTTCTCTTCTCCCCCACTTTTTTGTGTGTGTGTGGTGAAAATGGTAAAAAATAAAATTATTTTTGCTTAATATGCTTAACTCAACAGGACTTTATTGTCGTTTTTAAAGTCTTCAGCTATTTGTGGTTTACTTGTACAGGAAATAATTTTATTCACATTTGGTTATCCTCTAATGAATCATGGTAGCTGCACTGTGTTGTTGTCTGCCTTGTTCTGTGCCTGGGGAAGAAAAGCACATCTGGCTTGTAAATTAGAACTAAACATTGATACCTCATTGAGCTGTTTATTGGGTGACTGCCCTCCATGTTATATAGGTCTATAGTGCAGATTATCTACACAGTGGTGAAAATCCCATATGGCCCCTTAAAGGATCACATTGGGAAGCCTCTACACCTCCACAGTACCTCTGATATGTAATATTTATTACCTGATACACTGTAACTATGTTTCCTGCAGTAACAAGTATATTCTCTTTTTATTCCTTTAGAAATTGCCCCCTGGTTACGTGTATTCAGAGCAGAGAATGCTGTGGACTTCTCACAATTAACATTTGACCCAGGACAAAAAGAACTTATTGCTGGAGCAAGGTGGGAAATTTATGTGCTTTTGTTGATTATTCTTGCATGTAGTTAAGTGCTGGTGAGCCAAATTCTGCCTTCAGTTGTACCTATGCAACTCCATTTACAACAAGTCATGAAGACATACTGAACTGGATGTAACTAGAGTTTCATCTATTATAACTGAAAGACGATTTAAAGTGCTGGGTTGGTTCAGGGTGCATAAGAAGTTGCTCTGTATTCTCATTTTTAGGAGCCTTATCCTGTAGTCATTGCAAACTCAGAACTATTACACTGGTCTACAATTTTTGAGAAGTCGTCCGCTTCAGAGATAAAATGTGCTATTTATTATGTATTTTGATGTGCTGAATTCAAATATGACAATTAAAACAACTGATTGGCTACTGTTTCTAAGATATTTAAGTTTTTACATTTTATGTCTATGTATATTGTGTAGATAGTACAGTTTTAATCATAAATTGTAAACCTAGGTCTTTTCATGTGTTTATGGTTGCTTTACATGATAATATTTCACCTCTCCTGTTTATGTAACACTTTAAAAATCAGCAAAACGGTATATAAATAAAATTTATTATGAAACAAAAGGCAAAAAAACTATTATGTAAATAGTTTAGTCCTATTCAGTGTCTACTCGGCGCTTCTTGGCTTGTCTCTTTTATTCATTAAATGGAGCATCTCTTGTCACTGTCCAGCAATAGTCTGCAAGCATTGATGGGGTCCATTTGCCCTAATAGCGTTTCTCCATTGTTGCAATGTCCTGGTGAAATCGCTCGCCGTGCTCGTCGCTCACTGCTCCTCAGTTCGGTGGGAAAAAATCTAGATGAGAGTGCAAAAAATGTATCTTTAGTGACATGTTGCAACCAAGGCTTTTGTATGCCTTGAGGAGGTTTTCCACCAACAACCTGTAGTTGTCTGCCTTGTTGTTTCCGAGAAAATGTATTGCCACTAACTGGAAGGCTTTCCATGCCGTCTTTTCCTTGCGACGCAGTGCATGGTCAAATGCATCATCTCGAAGAAGTTCATGAATCTGAGGACCAACAAAGACACCTTCCTTTATCTTAGCTTCACTTAACCTTGGAAATTTTCCATGGAGGTATTTGAAAGCTGCTTGTGTTTTGTCAATGGCTTTGACAAAGTTCTTCATCAGACCCAGCTTGATGTGTAAGGGTGGTAACAAAATCTTCCTTGATTCAACAAGTGGTGAATGCTGAACACTTTTCCTCCCAGGCTCCAATGACTGTCGGAGTGGCCAATCTTTCTTGATGCAGTGGGAATC